CTCGTTCGACGGATGTTTAAAAAAGTGGGCTCGACTCCGTACGTACTTGCGTGCCTGCTGGAGCCCTACGCAAGGACGTTGCGTGTCTCCGCACTGACGCAGATGGAGAAGCATAAACCAGGCTTCATAGACTAGTTGCCGTCACGTGATAATGACCAACAAGATGCAGCTCTCGGAAAAGACAGCAGGTGACAAACCCCTGCACGTCGGGAGGCGACGCCGGTATCTGACACCCGCCGTAAAACGGACATTTGACCAAATTGTGACCTTTACCCTCTTGCAATTTAACCTTCCCCTCACCCCCATCCTGTCCTTAACCAGCTTGCGCAAGCAAAGCTCTGATCGTTGATGCACTCCAGACATCTGCGTCTTGAGCACGGCCACAGTAACATTATCAAATTAGGTGGTGCCACCTCAAAAACAAATTGAACATGTGATTGTTCAGTTCGACTCATTTACTTTTATGTTTTCTATCTTTTATTTGTGCCTGATGCGTTTTGCTGCTGCAGAGTGCATCACCTGTTTTGTCCTCTGGTGACCCACCGCAATAGTGCGGCTGGCACGCACTCCGCTGTTTTTGTGGTTGGTAGATCTTTTTGAGCTGCAGTTCAAAGGTAAATCACAAGGTGAATATATATGAAGCCAGGTAGCAGTTTTTCTTTAGGATTGAGAGGAGATGCAGGAAGATAAACAGACAGGACAGGAAAAAAAGTCAAATAAAAACAAGTTCCTTTTTGTACCTGGTGGTTGCAACAAACAGACACCATTGACGGTAATCAGAAGTGAGGAACAGAAAATGAAATAATTATTTTAATGTTTAGAGCTGCAGGAACTGAAAGGCTGCAGGCACATCAGTGAGTTTGCGGCCGCTGCACAGGGGGAGAGGGCTGAAGCAAGATGCAGAAATGACCGTTGTTAAAAGAGATGTGTTTAACTTCGAAAATGTGGGCAGAATTTTAATTGTCAAAAACCCCAGCGAACCAACCCTATGGTCGAGCTGCCAAGGGGCCCAGCTTGATATTTTTTCAGGGGGCTCAAAATCTCTGGCAGCTCCCCTGACGTAGGATCGTTGTACGCCGTTGGGTAGGTGAAAGGATGGTTCCACAGTGGCATCAACTGTCAAACACGGAGGAGGAAGTGTGATGGTCTGGGGCTGTTTTGCTGGATCCAGGGTCGGTGACCTGTACAGAGTGAGAGGCACCCTGAACCAAAACGGCTACCACAGCATTCCCTAGCACCATGCAGTACCCTCTGGTATGTGCCTAGTTGGTCAGGGGTTCATCTAAGATAATGACCCAAAACATAAGTCTAAGTTATGACAGAACTACCTCAGGAAAAAAAGAACAAGATGATGAGCTTGCAAACATGGAGTGGCCAGCAGTCTCTAGACTTAAACCCCATCGAGCTGGTTTGGGATGAACTGGACAGAAGAGTGAGAGCAAAGCAACCTACAAGTGCCACACATTTATGGGAACTTCTGCAACGGATATGGGAAGAACTTTCTGAAGAATATTTCATTTCTATTGTAGAAAGAATGCCACGAGTGTGTTCAGCTGTTAAATCTGCCAAAGGTGGCTACTTTGATGAGTAAAAAGTTTTCAATACATTTTGGTCTACAAATTGGTTCCATGATTTCATTTTTAACTCCAGTTACTTATTTGTACTATGCATTCATTTCAGAGTGGGATGTGACATTAGACTGCATCATTTACAGTAAAAAACTGGAAAAATTGGGGTGTTCTAAAACTTCACCGGCTGTGTGTGTGTGTGTGTAGTAACTGACTAACCCTAAATATATATATATATATACACATATACACACACACAAAAATATACTTGTTCTCAAATACATTTATTGGGCCAACCCCGTTTTTCTTAGGCACACCCACAAAAAGGTTCCTAGCTACGACACCGGTCTGCGTGATGATCGAGATGTTGACAAGAATTTGGAGATGTTGCAAATTTTTTTCCTGCCAGCTCCGCAGATGGGCAAGAGACAACATCCTTTGTTTCTCTTTTAAAAGCTTCAATCCCACAAAATACTTCACGTGCTTCCTAGGTGGAAACGGAGCCGTCCTGGAGGTTGGTGCTGGTTGTGCAGCGTGTGTTCTGTTTCTCTTTGGTCTGCGTAGGTCACATTGTATTTTTTAATTTGCGGTGTGGAAAATGTCTTTAAGGTGTGTTAACCACAGCGTTTCACACCACAGTTAACAGTCAAACCAGTTAATACCTCCACCCCTACCCTACCACAACCACATTAAAGCTACTTCAAAGGTTGTGTATTATTTAAATTAGCTTTTGTTTAAATGGCTATCTATACTTTTAAAAACATTTGTTCTGCTGCAATTCTTCTAAGTGAGAATGTTTAACAGTCATTTTGACAGAGGAAAATATGGATATAACTTCTAGGCCTTATCATTCATTCCTACCCAAATGAATAAACCCAGCTTTTATCAAGCACCCTCGTCCTGCATGTTTTCAATGTCTTTGCTTCAGCACACCCAGGGGTGGACTGGCCTATCTGGCATTCTGGCACCATCCCGGTGGGCCGCTTAGCCAAGTGGGCTGCTTTCCCAGCTTGGGCCGACACTACTCCACAGCTGGTAATCTGCAGAACATTAGCTACATGGTAACCCGAAGCTAACAGTTTTTCCAGGCGTTTTTAGCAAGAAAAACGCAGTAGAGCAATAACGTAGGAGTTGTTTCATCGTGTTAGCATGTAGCTAATGTCCCGCTGATATCGGCCCGTGGAGAATAAGAAGAAGAAAATATCATGAGCTGATCTGGAAAGCCAGGGCTCCCAGTCGCAGAGGTCTGACCCTGCATGTAATTTAACAGTCCCAGTCCATATTAGATCTCACATTCAGCCTGGAGACGAGTCTGCGGGCAGCAACACCCCCCTCCCCCACCGCTCTCCCAATGAGGGTGGCCAACTGAGGGTCGACGATTCGTAAAAATGCCAGGGCTGAATTTTGGTCCCAGTCCACCCCTGAGCACACCTGATATACATTGCCTTCTCAGGATTACATCAGATGCTGCAGTGTGTGTGGCATTAAGCCGGGCGTACACTGTGCGACTTTTTCACTTTTTTGAGCCGATTTTCCAGTCGTGCGAGAATCCACGACATTGGGCGAGTTTTGCGCCGAGCGGTCGTGTAGTGTACAGGGGGTTACGAGAGGCGATTAACACCACGTGACCAGCTGCCGTGAGGTCGCACGGACTTCTGGCGTGTTTAATATTTTGCTCGTCCCTCGTGAGGGTATCGCACTGTTGAAGCGGCGCTGCAAGCAGCTGCGACCCAAAAAGTACCAGAACCGCTCACGGCGCATGCGCAATCCTGCATCAACACCGCTCCCCGCTATTTCCCTAATAACACACGTTGTTCGTTTTAATTTCTACACGTTTTTTTACTCACAAAGATTGTCAAGAAAGCGTGTTTGTCGTGTTCATGTCAAATTAAACTGATCACAAAACACAGATTTACTTTCTTTATTTCGTTTTCCTAATCCAACCCCCACAAATCGCTGTGTGTCCTCCTGCAGCACTCCTGAAGGACAACAGGCAAATTATGTGTTGTGCAAAAACTGCTATTTTTAGCATATTTTTAGGGCCAACGTGTTGCTACCAGATGTACAGTGTAAGCAGTCAGGTTGCATCCGAGAACTGGGTCGTACAGTGTGAGCGCCTGGCTCGTGAGATCTGCCCTGCGAGGAAGTCGTACAGTTTGAGCTGAAGCTGAGTAGCCTGGCAAGCCAGACTAAATAAATGTATTTAGTCTGGCCACGCTCCATTGACGGCTCTCGGTTGTGGGGCGGGTTCTACCGTTGTCTTTCAAATGATCTCTGCATGCTACTGGACAATGAATGTGACATACTCTTGTTTCACTCTGTTGCATCATCCCACCCACCAGGCATATAGAGTGCCCTGATTGGCCCACAAAGCAGATAAAGCTCTGTGATTTGTTCACTAAGCAGATAGAGCACTATGATTGGCCCACCATTATGGACCAATCACAGCTCTTTATGTGTTTGAAACCCCTCTAGAGAGCTGTGATTGGCTAGCCAGAGTCCTGGTAGGAGCTGCTGAGGTTCCAATGGAGCATGCCTAGACCAAACTTTGCAAAGCAAGAATTTGGTCTAGTTCACTAGGCTAGAAGCTGAGTGCTACGAGTGAAAAAGTCGCACAGTGTACTTTAGGGAAACACCTAAAACCTGTAGAATGGGGGTGGGGTGCTGTGGACCAGGGTTAAGAATCACAGGTGTCATACTCCAGTTCTCAAGGGCTGCTATCCCACGTTTTAGTGTTTTCCCTGTTTCAACACACCTGATTTCAATCAGGTGATTACTAGGCTTCTGGAGAGCTTGATGAGCCGCTGCACAGGTCAATCAACTGTGTTGGAACAGGGAAACAGAAAGATGCAGGATACCGGCCCTTGAGGACTGGAGTCCCTACATGAGGGAAAGTGCAGGTCTGCACCAGCAGGATGCTCTGCTACTGAGAGGGCATGTGAACAAGGCTTCAAACCACACAAAGCCTCTTTCACACCTAATGCAGAATGATGTGGTCCAATATTGCAACGATCAAAGATCCTTTCAGACCACTTGCACAGGCTGTGATGCTGTGTGGATATGGATGCAAAGCACTAGAATGTTTCTGCATGGAGTGTATTTTTTCTGGATGCTGCATGACTTTTGTTCTAAAGAATTCACACGCCAGACATGAAGTGAGACATGGTTCAGTGTTAGGGAATTTTAACAAAGTTACTTTCATTAAATAATCAGTTGTACATTCTACTTTTGAGGAATCAACATATCTGACCAAAGAGGCACTTGTGGGTCAGAGTATGGCTCAGGACGGGGAACAAAAAGGCTGGAAAACAATGCTTTATGTAATGACAGCTAAAGCTTTTCAGCCCTGAAGTTAGTTGTATTTATCTGTGATGAAAAACTTAGGCTTTGATTATATTACTTTTAAAGTCACAAAATACAACAACAAAAAAGTTCCTTATCAACTTTTATTTAAAACTACTGAAACAAATATTAAAGGACAAGAATCATTAAGGAATAACCAAAAAAATTTCAGACATTAAACATAAAAATAACAATAATGTATTTAAACTTGGTAAAGAAAATCCTACAGTGAGCAGACCTTCAGCGGGGGGGGGGGGGGGGGGGGGGGGGGGAATCTAAATTTGTGTTTAAATGAAGCTCAATAGCACTGAAACGTCAACATTTTCCAGGTCCCTCTAGAAGAAAAACATTACAACTGATTTACACATCTGAACTTATGCTTGAAAGCCAGTTGGGGCCATTACACTTGTGTAAATGGAGAACTTAAGAAAAAAAGAGGATTCATATGAACTGTACACAACTGCTCTTAAGAGTCCGAGTCTCCTTTGCTCCATGCGTCTGGCTACCTTCTATCCTATGAATAGCTGACTTGTATGACAATCAGAATGATTTTGTGACAAGCTACTCTTATTTACTTCCATCATACTTTACAGTAATTTTCTACTCAAAATTATAAGTAAACTCTGTGGAGGTCATGTCAAAGGGGAGGCCCAAGGTTTCGGGGGTGGTTTCCCCCTCTGAAGGATCATCTTTGTCAGTTGTCTCAGCCTTCAACTGTGCCTGAGATTCTGGATCAGAAGACTCCAAACTTTCTGTGTTAGCCAGGTCTGGTTCTGACGGACTCTGATGCTGTTGTTGACGTGTCTGATACCTGGTCTGAGAGCGGGTTTGGCGACTAGGTGCAGAAGCAGGAGGGTTTTTTTTCACTTGTGCCGACTTTCCTCTGGATTTGGGACTTGGTTTGGGTTTAGGCTGTGGTTCTGGTGCCATTTGTAGTTGAGACAGTGTGTCTTGATGTAACTGGAATTCTGACTGAGACTCTGCTTTGAAACAATCATTCTCTGTCTGGGGTTTATCTGTGTGCCCCACGTTGGATGACTTGATCTGTGAGTTAATATGGCATTCAGACAAAGTGTTGAAGGGCTGATCATAATGTGGAGAAGTTGACTGGGTCGTTGGCACCCCCTCTGCTACTGAAGCTGTGGTAGGCTGAATGGACCAAACAGAAATGATCTGAATGTCTGATTCAGTCTGGGTTTGGGGGCTAGGTGTATAGTTATTTGAGTCAAGCTGTGGAGATATTTGAACCTTAGCTGGCGGCTGGATGTCGGTAAGAGACAGAAGCTGATTGTGGGGTTCTGCAGGAGGGTTTAATTCACTCAGAGTTTTATCGAGGGGTGGATCTTCAGTTTTGCATTGTGGTTTGTCTTGGGGCAGTTGTTGGGTTGGATTAGAGGATTGTAGTTTGTCTTGAGGCTGTAGTTGGGTTGGATCAGAGGACTGTGGTTTGTCTTCGGGCTGTGGTTGAGTTGGATTAGAGGATTGTGGTTCGTCTTCGGGCTGTGGTTGAGTTGGATTAGAGGATTGTGGTTTGTCTTCGGGCTGTGGTTGGGTTGGACTAGAGGATTGTAGTTTGTCTTGAGGCTGTAGCTGGGTTGGATTAGAGGATTGTGGTTTGTCTTCGGGCTGTGGTTGGGTTGGACTAGAGGATTGTAGTTTGTCTTGAGGCTGTAGCTGGGTTGGATTAGAGGATTGTGGTTTGTCATGGGGCTGTAGTTGGGTTGGACTAGGGGATTGTGGTTTGTCTTGAGGCTGTAGCTGGGTTGGATTAGAGGATTGTGGTTCGTCATGGGGCTGTAGTTGGGTTGGACTAGAGGATTGTGGTTTGTCTTGAGGCTGTAGCTGGGTTGGATTAGAGGATTGTGGTTTGTCATGGGGCTGTGGTTGGGTTGGATTAGGGGATTGTGGTTTATCATGGGGCTGTGGTTGAGTTGGATTAGAGGAATGTGGTTTGACTTCGGGCTGTGGTTGAGTTGGATTAGAGGATTGAGGTTTGTCTTCGGGCTGTGGTTGAGTTGGATTAGAGGATTGTGGTTTGTCTTCGGGCTGTGGTTGAGTTGGATTAGAGGATTGTGGTTTGTCTTGGGGCTGTGGTTGGGTTGGATTAGAGGATTGTGGTTTGTCTTCGGGCTGTGGTTGAGTTGGATTAGAGGATTGTAGTTTGTCTTGGGGCTGTGGTTGGGTTGGATTAGAGGATTGTGGTTTGTCTTGGGACTGTGGTTCGGTTGGATTAGAGGATTGTAGTTTGTCTTGAGACTGTAGTTGGGTTGGATTAGAGCATTGTGGTTTGTCTTGGGGCTGTGGCTGGGTTGGATTAGAGCATTGTGGTTTGTCTTGGGGCTGTGGCTGGGTTGGATTAGAGGATTGTGGTTTGTCTTGGGGCTGTAGTTGGGTTGGATTAGAGGATTGTGGTTTATCATGGGGTTGTGGTTGAGTTGGATCAGAGGACTGTGGTTTGTCTTGGGGCTGTGGTTGGGTTGGACTAGAGGATTGTGGTTTGTCTTTCAGCTGTAGTTGGGTTGGATTAGAGGATTGTGGTTTGTCATGGGACTGTAGTTGGGTTGGATTAGAGGATTGTGGTTTATCATGGGGTTGTGGTTGAGTTGGATCAGAGGACTGTGGTTTATCATGGGGCTGTGGTTGAGTTGGATTAGAGGACTGTGGTTTGTCTTTCGGCTGTAGTTGGGTTGGATTAGAGGATTGTGGTTCGTCTTTCGGCTGTAGTTGAGGTGGATTAGAGAATTGTGGTTTGTCTTTCGGCTGTAGTTGAGGTGGATTAGAGAATTGTGGTTTGTCTTGCAGCTGCGGTAGAGTTGGATTAGAGGATTGTTGTTCGTCTTGGGGCTGTGACTGGGTTTGAAAAGAGGACTGCGATTTTGTTTTGGACTGTGGCTGAGGTGCCTGTGGAACAGCAAACAGACGTTTATCATCTGTTTCTGGTCTACAGAAAGAGGAGGGGCCTTGCTGGCCACCACTACTGTAAAATATTCCAAATAAATCTTGGGCTTTGGCTGCAGCCAGGTTGCTCTTGACTTTTTCAGATTTGTGAGGTCCTTCCATCTTGCTCCTGAATGGTGGCGGTTTGACAAAGACAGTGCAAGTCTGCTCACTCTCTGGGACACCAGGAGCTGCCACATCAGACACAATCTTGATTACAGCTGGTTCTACTGGTGCATTTTTTGTTGGAGCAGGTGGTTCTGGGACAACTTCAGAAGATCTTTCTTCTGCTGGACCAAACTTTGCATCAGGTGTTGGCTTTGATTTCACTGTAGAAGCTTCAGAAACTGGTGGAGCACTACTTACCTGAAACGGTGGCAGTTTAGATTCGACTACACCAGGTTTAGAATCTGTGGGCTCCTCTTTAGCTTTGGATGAGGCAACTTTTATTTCAGTTGGCTCTGATTTAACTCTTGATTGAGCAGAATTAACAGCTTGTATTTCAGGTTTAGTCATTGATGGTGGCAGTTTAGGACCAAATGGCTCAGACTTTGTCAATGTTGGTGCAGGCTGTGGGTTAAATATTCCAGGTGTAGGAAATGAAGTCCCAGGACTAGTTTGGGATGTTGGTGTGTGGACATTTGGAGGCCTGATGGTGGAGCCGGAAGGAGGCCCAGGAATACAGGTACTCTGGGGTCTTATGTTGAGGAATGTACTTAGTGATGCAGGTTTTCCTGCCATGGCTGCTCTCCTCAGCTGTGTAGTTGGTGGAGGCAGATTTGGACGGATACGTCCTCGATTAGCGGTGATCCAAGGTGGAGCCATAGGTTGTTCACCTGCCAGCTTCTGGGCAATGCCTTTCGCAAAAGCCATCGACTTTGCAAAAGAATCCTCTGCCATGGAGGCCTGCTCATTTGCAGCCATTTCATCTTCCTTTATGAACTCTGCTGCCACTTTCTGTGCTTCTTTTGCCAGCTGGTTTTCTTTCTTTTTCCAAGTGAATCTCCCAAATGATGCAGATGTGGCTGGGGACTTCCCAGATTCCAGGCTTTGCTTACGGAGCTTTGCCCTCATGGCCGGACTGGGTCCACATAAGATTTTAGGCAGCTCATAGGGTTTTGGTGGGGGTCCAGACTTGCTGACCTCTGGTTCACCTGTTGGTTTATCTATCCCCCTTTCCGTCTTAGGTTTACCTTCATCTTGGTCTCTGTTGAATTTTGATCTTACCTCAGAATATTTTTCCTGCTTGTATTTGTCATCATCCTTTGAGCCATATTTTGCTCGTTCTTCATATCGATCACTTCCATCCCGGTGGTAATTGTACTGATATTCATCTCTGTTGCTGTTTCTGTAACGGCTGATTCTGTCTTCCTCATCTCGGTTACTGCGGTATTTGTCATCTTTTTTGCTGTATTTATACTTTTCATCTTCATCTTTCTTGATGTAAGACTTCTCTGGTTCCTGGCATTTTTTTAAATCTTGCTCTTTCTTTCCCAGCTTTGGCTTATCCTCCTCTTCCTCCTTTTTAACTTTATATTTTTCATTATTAGGTAAGACTGCATCCTCTTCCTTCTTCTTTTCCTTGTCCCTTTTCTCCTTTTTGTGTTTAGTTTTCTCTTCTCTCTCTTTGCTATCGCTGCCCTCCTCGTGTTTTCGTTTCTTTCCACTTGCCTCTGAAGCCAGACCCGCTTGGCGGTCCAGGTTCCTCCTTTGCTCGTATAACGGATTTTCATACATTTGTTTCTGGTAGAGGATGTGTCAAAAAAGAAAGAGAAAAAGAATGATGATCAAAAGTAACTTACATTCCACTACTTAAACCAGTAAGATCATAACTATAGATGAACAAAAATACTAATTTTCTAAGGGTTTGCGCATTAATACATACTAAAACTCATCTGGTTTTTAACAGGTTTAGAAATGAGATCCATGTAACTTCAGACGAACAACAAATCAAACACATCGCAAGTTATTTCACTAAAACTACTTTATGCTACATTTTAGCTGTTTTGCTGCTAAGTTTGGATCATAGTCTTATTTTATGACCCAGCTAAGTCCAAGCTTCAGCTGTGAGACATATGGTCATTAAACTCTATGCGTTGTTATCCAAAGGACTTTCCGGTGGACTCCGTAAGTCCTGTAGAATCAGACCAAACTAACAGCCCTCCATTACCTTGCAGACAGCTGGAATCTGCTGTTTGTGCAGCAGTGCAATATGGGTAAACATCTCCACTCTGATAACAGTGTTATACAGTCAGGTCCATAAATCTTGGGACATCGACACAATGCTAACATTTTTGGCTCTATACACCACCACAGTGGATATCAAATGAAACGAACAAGATGTGCTTTAACTGCAGACTGTCAGCTTTTATTTGAGGGTATTTACATCCAAATCAAGTGAACGGTGTAGGAATTACAACAGTTTTCATATGTGACTCCCACTTGTTAAGGGACCAAAAGTAATGGGACAATAGGGTTCTCAGCTGTTCCATGGCCAGGTGTGTGTTATTCCCTCATTATCCCAATTACAATGAGCAGATAAAAGGTCCAGAGTTCATTTCAAGTGTGCTATTTGCATTTGGAATCTGTTGCTGTCAACTGTCAAGATGAGATCCAAAGAGCTGTCACTATCAGTGAAGCAAGCCATCATTAGGCTGAAAATACAAAAGAACCCTATCAGAGAGATAGCAAAAACATTAGGTGTGGCCAAAACAAAAGTTTGGAACATTCTCAAAAAGAAGGAACACACCGGTGAGCTCAGCAACACCAAAAGACCCGGAAGACCACGGAAAACAACTGTGGTGGATGACCGAAGAATCCTTTCCTTGGTGAAGAAAACACCCTTCACAACAGTTGGCCAGATTAAAAACACTCTCCAGGAGGTAGGTGTATCTGTGTCAAAGTCAACAATCAAGAGAAGACTCCACCAGTGTGAATACAGAGGGTTCACTACAAGATGTAAACCATTGGTGAGCCCCAAAAACTGGAAGGCCAGATTAAAGTTTGCCAAAAGACATCTAAAAAAAGCCTTCACAGTTCTGGAACAATGTCCTATGGACAGATGAGACCAAGATCAACTTGTACCAGAGTGCAACCAAAGAGTTTTTGAAGGGAAAGAAGTGGACTGGTTTGCAATGGCCAAGTCAATCACCTGACCTGAATCCGATTGAGCATGCATTTCACTTGCTGAAGACAAAACTGAAGGGAGAATGCCCCAGGAACAAGCAGGAACTGAAGACTGTTGCAGTAGAGGCCTGGCAGAGCATCACCAGGGATGAAACCCAACATCTGGTGATGTATGTGTTCCAGACTTCAGGCTGTAATTGACTGCAAAGGATTTGCAACCAAGTATTGACATGTATAAGTTTGATTTATGGTTCTTATTCTGTCCCATTACTTTTGGTCCCTTAACAAGTGGGAGGCACATATGCAAACCACCTGATTTGGATGTAAATACCCTCAAAAAAAAGCTGACAGTCTGCAGTTAAAGCACATCTTGTTCATTTCATTTGATATCCATTGTAGTGGTGTATAAGGGCCAAAAATGTTAGCATTGTGTTGATGTCCCAATATTTATGGACCTGACTCTATGTCATGTGAAATTTATCTCGGGTATTTTTTTTTATTTGGAAACTTCTGTCTTTACATTATATTTAAAAACTCAGAATCAAATAACGGTGGATTTTATTTTACCATGACAGCACATACAAGTGGAACAGGAAGTCTGACCTGAACTGCTTTTTTCAGAGGTTGTGAAATGACGCAGGAGGTTGGAATGAGGAATCTTCAGGTCGGGTTGGAGGTAAATCAGCCGAGTATCTGTTTACATGAAGCAGCTCTTCATTCACTCAGATTAATACCTTGTATTTCTCATTATGAGAGTGTGTGATGACGTGATCTTCAGCGCAGATAGCGTCTCCATAAAACTCTTTACACAGAAGGCAGTAGAACCCACGGACAGGAACCAGAAATTCTGAGCCTGCAGCAAAACACAAATGTAGGACATTTTAAACCCTTACATGGGGAAAAACAAGATGCCAATCTTGTTTACCTGACTGATGTTAAAATCAAGAACCTGTTAGGAGAAGAGATTTTAAGAGAGAAGTATTTGTTCAGGATGTACAGAGCAGAAATCCAGTTGCTGTGAAGTTATTTCAGAGCTGTAACTGATAGAAACATGTTGGAATGACTCAGCATCTTTGTGGATCACACAATAAAGACACCAGAACTGAAATCAAAGATGTAAACATGAGCTTCTTCTGTGGCTCCACTTCATTAGCACTGTTTTCATTAAGTGACAAAGTGCAGCAGAAATCCAAGCTCAGATCCACCTGGAAATAGAAGATGGCTAACAAAATTTAGTGGCTCAGACACATCTTTAGTCACATCATGGACACTTGGCCACAGTGTGTGATGGAGAGGTCTCAGTACCTTTGGCTGGTTTGGTTTGCTTCTCTTCTGCCAGTGAGCTCTTGGAGACTTTGGCTGGTGCAGATGCCCAGGGTCGGTTGTATGGATCCAGAGTCTGTGGCAAGAAGAAAGGCGTAAGTGGGACTGCTCAATAGCTGACTAAAGCAAACATAAAATGCTTCGAATGAATGCATTTTTCAGTTCAATCACATAAAATAGATTTCATTAGGTACAAGATGAACAAACCTTTCGGTGCGATTTGCTGTGTAAGTGTGTGAAAAAATCAAACATGGATCCCGAGGTGACATTACAGCTCTTGCACCAGTGGTTTCCAGCATCATAGTATTCAAAGGGGTCAGGGGGCAGAGCCAGGGAAGGAGCCTGTGCGGTAACGGGCTGTTTGTCTGGAGCAGTCGGGGTCAAAGCCACCAAGGTTGGCTATAAAAGAAAGATAGAGGAGAGTCACCACAGCAAGAAGGAGCCAGTATGGTCTGGGCTCAAACAGCCACCAAATGTCAAACAGCTCCACAAAAGTAAAGTTTCTTACCTTCAACTGCAATCCAACACCAGAGACAAAACTCATGTCAAGTATCGTTGTCCAACAATAATGCCTGACCCCCTTCAACCATAAATAAAACCCACAGATCCAACCAGAACCGTGCGCTAAAGCTAAACCAAATGAAAAAATACCTCAGATGACGTTTTAGGTGTTGACTCCTGTTTTTACCATTTATCCCAAACGAGTTTTAACGCTTGCAGATGTCATTTAACATCACGGTAAATTTTATTTGAAACAAGGTTATTTGAGGTTTCTTAACAGGTGGAACAAGTTGCAGATGAGTGTTATTTTATCTTTGAGCTAAAAACTATTTAAAACAATTTTTGAGTTTTTCACTGAAGCTGCAAACAAGCAGAAGTACGTACCTTTGACACTGATGAGCTACATTTACAACAAAATCACAAACATCTCAGAACCTCACCTCAATAACTCTGGACTCAAAACGTTAAAACGTTTTTTTGGAGTCTGGTTGAAAGGACAATGAAAACAGTATTTCATCAGAACCACATAACGACTGTTTCTGAAGGAATGTGGAAATATTCAAGATAAAATGTAAAGTCAAGCTTTGGGCAGCAACAGAATCTCAGCTGAACATTAGCAAAATACAACACTTTTGTTTTTGCTCTCATTTTCATGAGCTTACCTCAAACATCTGAAACATTTTCTACATACACAAAAGACCCATTAGTCTCAGATATTAGGTGCATTTCCATTACCGGAACACCAGGGTAGACTTATGGGCCATTCCCATCTGTACCGGGTCGGCCCGGGCCGAGTAGCCCCAGTCGGCCCCAGCCTGGCCCGGTTGATTCCACACATCCTTGTCTTAAGCCCATGTGGGCTGATTCTACCCACCAATCAGAGGCTTGCTCTAATGGAAGGTGTGAATTTGCTGTCAGCAGTGGGTGTGTTGGCCCTGGTCGGCCTGAAGCAGACCCCCTCGAGAAGAGGGCTGAGAAGGAGCCTTGGTTGGCCCGGAAAAATACCAGGCCACCCAGATATGTAAACAACCTACGCTACCCGGCCCGGGCCGACCCGGTACAGATGGGAATGGCCCAAAACATATCTTGGTGGCCTGCCTTTTTTCAGGGTGCAACGAGACTGTTTTTCAGCCCTCTTTCTGAGGTGGTCTGTTTCGGGCTGAACAGGGCCAACACACCCACTGCTGACTGATAAGCCGGCTTATCAGTCAGCAAATTCACACCTTCCATTAGAGCAAGCCTCTGATTGGTGGGTAGAATCAGCCCACATGGGCTTAAGGCATGCTCAATTGCTGAAAATGTTTCTGACTGCATGCCTTGCATACCTAAGCAAGAATGTGTGGAATCAACCGGGCCAGGCTGGGGCTGAATGGAGCTATCCGGGCAGGGCCGACCAGGTACAGATGGGAATGGCCCAAAAGATAGAATAAATGCTTTAAAATCAATGTTACTGTGGACGCTTTTTGGCACTGATCAGTGACATCACTCACTGCAAAAGCGGTCGCGATATGCTGACGTCTGTGGAAGTTCTCAAAGGGCTGAATTTGAATGGAGACAATAAAGCTGAGATTACTGGGACATCGTATCTCCCAGTCAATTTCCCCGTCCCAGAAATGATCCTGGAGTTCTGGTAATGGAAACAAAGCTAATTTTTACAAATCTGTCTAAATCTGTCCATCCCACCTCACAGATGCGGCATATCAAGGTGCTGATTAGACTTAACAAATTTTGCACTTGAATGCCTTACCTCTTCATTCCACCGGATAGGAAAGTGGCATGAAATGGCAGCAAAACATACTACGGGGCAATTAGCTGCCATTTTACTGGACAGAGTCGTGTCCACTGGCAGCTAAGTGCAACGTTTTGGATGTGTCCCAGAAGCATCAGGATGCCATTATTACATTAGGGCTGCAGCTATCGATTGGTTGCTATGGTTGGAAGCGGACTCGTGAAAATCGCTATTTTGTTTACACTGCATTTTTGGGTCTGGTGGGAAGAAGAGGTTAGACTGTCCACAATAAAAGGCTACTCTGAAATTTGCAGCTTAATCACACAGCACAATGCCATAGATGTCACAACTTTGAGGGAGAGTGAAGTTGGTATGCTGACTGCAGGAACGTCTATCAGAGCTGTTGCCAATGAGATAAATGTTAATTTCTCTGCCATAAGGGGTTTCAGAGAAATTGGCAGCAAATCCAACGAGCCTCACAACCGTCAGGGGGCAATTTCAGATAATGCCAGCTCTGACACAGAAGAAACTGTTTAATTATACTTATGGTGGACCTCAACCATACAGCTATGAGCCTGCTGCATGACCCAGAGAGCAGAGACAAGTTAGAGGGATGGCCAAAGCAGAGAGAATTAGCTGTGGAGCCAGGAGAATCAGCAACGTATAGGTGTCTCGCTAAGTGAACGACGCTATTTTAAACTTGTGTGCTACAGATTACTATCATGTACCAGACAATTACCATACCTTTACCAGTTGTTTTATGAAGCACATTTAAAATAGCATGGCAGCTAACCAAAGTGCTGTACGAGAGCCAAAGACTCAAACACAACAACAAAGACAGCATCGGAGTAAAATAAAACGCTAAAACGTATAACCCAACTAGGGAGTTCCAGACCGTCCTCTCCCTGGCCACCTCCACCAGTTCCTCCGGCAGGACCCCAAGGCGTTCCCGGACCAGATTGGAAACGTAACTTCTCCAACATGTCCTGGGTCGACCCGGGGGCCTCCTGCCGGCAGGACATGCCCGAAACACCTCCCCAGGGAGGCGTCCAGGAGGCATCCTGACCAGATGCCCAAACCACTTCAACTGACTCCTTTCCATCCGGAGGAGCAGCGGTTCTACTCAGAGTCCCTCCCGAATGTCAAAGCTCCTCACCCTATCTCTAAGACTGAGCCCGGCCACCCTACGGATGAAACTCATTTTGGCCACTTGCATTCGCGATCTCGTTCTTTCGGTCATTACCCAAAGCTCATGACCATAGGTGAGGATTGGGACGTAGATCGACCGGTAAATTGAGAGCCTGGCTTTCTGGCTCAGCTCCCTCTTCACCACGACAGATCGGCTCAGCGTCCGCATCACTGCAGACGCTGAACCAATCTGCCTGTCGCTCTCCCAATCCCTCCTACCCTCACTCATGAACAAGACCCCGAGATACTTAAACTCCTCCACTTGAGGTGGGACCTCTCTCCTGACCCGGAGTTGGCAAGCCACCCTTTCCCGGTCGAGAACCAAGGTCTCAGATTTGGAGGTGCTGATCCTCATCCCAGCCGCTTCACACTTGGCCATGAACCTGCCCAGTAAGAGCTGAAAGTCAGAGCTGGATGAAGCTAGGAGGACCACGTCATCCGCAAAAAGCAGAGACGAGATTCTCCTGCCACCAAACTCGACACACTCCACACCACGGCTGCTCCTAGAATTTCTGTCCATAAAGGTTATGAACAGAACCAGTGAAAAGGGCAGCCCTGGCGGAGTCTAACCCTCACCGGGAACAGGTCCGACTTACTACCAACTATGCGGACCAAACTCACACTCCTCTGGTAAAGGGACTGAATGGCCCTTAACAGAAAGCCACCCACCCCATACTCCTGGAGCGTCCCCCCACAGGGTGCCCCTGGGGACACGGTCATAAGCCTTCTCCAAATCCACAAAACACATGTGGATTGGTTGGGCAAACTCCCATGCCCCCTCCATCACCCTTGCAAGGGTATAGAGCTGGTCCACCATTCTATGGCCAGGACGAAAACCACATTGCTCCTCCTCAATCTGAGATTTGACTATCGATCGGACCCTCCTCTCCAGTACCTTGGAGTAGACTTTTCCAGGGAGGCTGAGGAGTGTGATCCCCCTATAGTTGGAACACACCCTCCGGTCACCCTTCTTAAAGATGGGGACCACCACCCAGGTCTGCCACTCCACAGGAACCGCCCCCGATGACCACGCAATGTTGCAGAGATGTGTCAACCACGACAGCCCTACCACAATCATAGCCTTGAGATACCCAGGACGAATCTCATCCGCCCCCGGGGCTCTGCCACTGTGTAGTTGTTTGACTACCTCAACAACTTCTGCCCCAGAGATTGGACAGTCCATCCCCAGGTCTCCCGGCTCTGGCTCCTCCTCGGAATGTGCGTAGGTGGGATTGAGGAGCTCCTCAAAGTATTCCTTCCACCGCCCGACTATAGCCCCATTTGACATCAGCAGCTCCCCATCCTCACTGTAAACAGTGTGAGCGACTTGCTGCCTCCCTCTTCTGAGGCACCGGACAGTTTGTCAGAACCTCTTTGGCGCCGATCGATAGTCTTTCTCCATGGCCTCACCAAAGTCCTCCCACGCCCGAGATTTCACCTTGGCAACTGCCACTGCTGCACCCCGCTTGGTTACCCGGTACTCGTCTGCTGCCTCCGGAGACCCACAGACCAGCCACGCCCCGTAGGCCTCCTTCAGCCTGACGGCTCCCCAAACCTCTGGTGTCCACCAGCGGGTACGGGGGTTGCCACCATGACTGGCACCGGCCACCTTGCGACCACAGCTAGCAAAATCCGCCTCAACAATCGCAGAGTGGAACAAGGCCCACTCAGAGTCGATGTCCCCCACTGCTCTCGGGACGCGGTCAAAGCTCTGCCGGAGGTGGGAGTTGAAGACTGTCTTGACAGGTTCTTCCGCCAAACGTTCCCAGCAGACCCTCACTATGCGTTTGGGTCTGCCAGGTCTATGCGGCATCTTCCCCTGCCATCTGATCTAACTCACCACCAGGTGGTGATCAGTTGACAGCTCCGCTCCTCTCTTCACTCGGGTGTCCAAAACATACGGCCGCAGGTCAGATTATACGACTACAAAGTCTATCACTGACCTGCGACCTAGGCTGCCCTGGTACCAAGTGTACCGATGGGCATCCTTATGTTCGAACATGGTGTTCGTTATGGCCAAACTGCGGCTTGCACTGAAGTCCAATAACGAAACACCACTCGAGTTCAGATCAGGCGGGCCGTTCCTCCCAATCACACCCCTCCAGGTCATGCGGTCATTGCCCACGTGAGCATTGAAGTCCCCCAGCAGGACAATGGAGTCCCCTGATGGAGCACTATCTAGCACTCATCCCAGGGACTCCAAAAAGGGTGGATAATCTGAACTGATATTTGGCACATAAGCACAAACAACTGTCAGGACCCGTTCCCCATTTCTAAATGATTTCTTATAAATCATTCATACTATTTTCTGCAGGTTAAATGTCAAATCTGTTAAACTTAACTTACATTAATAAAAGAATGTCATCAATGCTGAGACATCAGAGAGTAATGTGGGAATTTGGCCGACTCACCGGCGGTCAGAGCGGTGGGGTGGGGGGTGCGGACGGGACCGGCCCAAATTGGATCAATAGCCCACCGGGACCGGATGTCGGCAGTCTCCTATTAGGTTTGCTTGCAGTGATGTTTATAATCCAGCAGGTGTCAGTAGACCAACATGGTGACACAGTGTTGACATGGTTTGGGTCATGAGCCGAAACAGCTCATGAGGCCTTATCTACCCCATTTGCTGACTTCGGAGCGAAGTTCAGAAAGGACTGAATTTGAATGGAGACAACAGCTTAGAGGGGTTGCGCGCTCCGTCCCGCAGCGCTCCTCTGTTAAAGCGGGGGTGGGGTTGCACACATTGCGTTGCTGTTTCTCACCAGTATCAGCTGATGGAGGGCTCTAGTTTCGTTGTGCCGTTTGTGTCAGCGGACACGGTAGGGTTGGGGAGGGGGGCAGGGCATGACACTTAGCCTGGCGGGCCGCCAGGCTTATAAAGCGCTGGAGGAAACCCTGAAAATGTATAATTACAAACAGAAAACACCTGTAAAGCATTCCTATGATGATATGGTCTCTCAGTCAAGTTGAATGACTGAAAGAAATTTTCCAGACAAACTTTTATGTAAGATTTGGGTGTTTTTACAAATATTTGTATAAGTCATAATCTAGTAAAAACATATGTTACCTGTAAATAAAAATCCTTAAAAGCGACACTACAACAGGCACAAAACTTAAATTTAGTAAGTTGGGTCAGACCCAGACAAGGAGCTGAAGACACCGTTAGGAATTAGGAGGAAATCTGATCTGAAGCCTGAGCGATAAATAGGTGAGTAGACCTTCCTTGCATGGGAAGTCCCACCTTCACATTAACAAGGGTGCAGCTGCAGACATTTCCCGGTCTGATTGCATCTTCCTTGTTCCCCGCTACCCCTGATGTAAACATCCACCCTTTTAGTTCCCATGACCGCTTCAACATACCTCGCTGCTGAATTATACCAACGCACACCACGCTTAGACGATCGCTTGTCTCAAAATAATTACTTAGCTTACATAGACTTTGTAAATCTTCCGGTGTGCGGAGCAATAAAACAAGCAGCAGCAGTGAGATCAGAGACCATCGCTAAAATCTGTAGTTTTCAGGAATTTCCCTTTTTACAAGTTAAGAGAAGAGGCCAACATGTTCTCCCAAACACCGCATCAGTCCAAGCAAGGCACTTATCTACCATTTCAGTAGCAGAGTAAGGCTGCTTTGTTGTGTGCATCAGAGAAAACGGCGTACCCAGAATTTGTGCAATGACGACGCTTCCCTTTTATATAATTCAAGCTATGATTAAATGTGCAAATGTTGTTAACGTGTAATTTTTCCTAATTAATTATTCATAATCAATGCATTAAAGTCCCACCCCTAATTAAAGCACAAAACACAAAGCAGCAAACATCTTCAAACTGAGGCCAAGCTGCTGGTTATAAAACCTGTCAAACTAGACAATAAAACGTGTCATTAGTTAATAAATCAATAAACGCATTTCTAAACCATACGAGAATAATAACTATTCTAATCTTTAACAAACCTAGTGATAATGAGCTTAAACCCAGCTAATGTTAGATCTAGTAATTACTAAATATTTCATGAACTAAACTGGTTAACAAACCTGTTATTACACCAGTAACTAAGATTTACTAAAACAAAACTGGGAATAAACATGAATCCTAATGAACAGTAAACCAGTGCTAAACTGGAAAATATTCATAAAAATGTCAAACAAATATTTGACAAACTAGAAATAAAATAATCAGGCTTTTCAAAAGCAGATAATACTACTAGTAACGGTCTGGATTCAGACTTATTAAACTAGGTAGCAAAGTCTGTAAAGTAGGGAAAAAATCCTTTTTAGAAGACAAACCAGAAATAAACCAGTCTTCAACAAATACATTTTATAAATGAGTGGTAGTCTCATTAAATCTGTCGTTAATCCTGATAATAAACCAAAAGATAAACTAGGTAATCTGCCTGTTTTTGTGGTTTAGACTGACCAGAACCAGGTGGATCTGATGTCGAACCCTAGCTATGCTCTCTGACACCCATAAACTGCTCCTCAGCAAAAGTTTTACCTTTACTAATGAGCTGCAGGATGCCGCATGCTCCTCTGAGCTCCTCTCTAAATCTCGTTTCTTCTTCGGTGGTGGTGGATTGTCGTCCTGGACATCAGCTTGCTTGACGGGTCTGCTGGGCCGATCAGACGGGGTCAGACCAAGGATCAGGGCCACCTTTTCAATCTCATTGCGTTTCTTTTCAGCTGCCTCGTGCTCCTTGCGGAGGTTTGAGATCTGAGTCATGACCTCCTCCTGCAGGTGGCTGATCTCCTGCAGCAGGGGGTCCTTATGGCCATCCTTCTCCCTGCGCTTCTTCCTCAGCAGCTCGCCTGGTAACACAAAAACACATTATAGCACAACACTCCTCAGAATGGCCTCCAGCTGAGTTCTGCTGAGCAGAGCGGTCCTTTATTTCATCTCCTGATGGTGTCATCTTCCCATCCATCAGGGAGGACAACCCTCTTTCATTGTGCCTCTGATCGTGCAGACTTCGGTGGAAACTATAAAATATGCAGCAGCCTTGTTAATAATCTTCGTGATTTTCCTGTATCGATCGTCGGTTGTTACGATAAAAACTTCAGTTAAATAAATCATATAGGAGACAGATGGTGATGTTAAGTGAAACAAAGCTGAAGGATTTACAGAAAGTGTGCAATAACAGTTTAAACACAATCAGGCAGGTGCATACATTTGGGCACCACAAAAAAGAAATGAACTTAATATTTAGTAGATCCTCCTTTTGCAGAAATAACAGCCTATTAACCAACCGGAGTCTGGATTCTGGCTGGAGGTAGCGCTCCTGACTGACTCAGGACCCAGGTTTTCCCCGGGGGTAAGGTGGCAGCAGAGGGCGCGGGGTGAGAGGGTATGGGTAGTGGACCTGAGCCCAGCTGACAGAGCTGCACATTTATGATTAGTTTGCCGTTTTTTTCCCCTTACATAGCTCTGCTACTACAGCCGATATCGAACGTGAGCGTCCGTCTCTGCCAAGAATGTTCGATTCATCTCTCATCACCGTGGGTGCAGAGAGAGAGAGAGAGAGGTTTATTCTCCAACCTAACAACACCAAGTGGACTTGAATGAGCAGCTTCTTTTCTTGGTGAAAACATGTCTGACATTAACAACGTGTTTCCGATGGTTTTCATATTGTCCGATGAAAACATAAAATCTTCGGACATATTGACCGACCTGCTTCCTCTCTTAAGCAGCCAAAGCAAAATAAACTTCCTGAAAACCACAAACTACTGACTGAAAGTTTGCACGACCTGCAGCAGCATTCTATAACAGTTGTGCAGAACCAAAACACCAGATAGGACATTTTGACCCTAACAGTGGTTTATGAGACCAACAAACTCATCTCACTGCAGCTCCAGTTTCACTTTCACCATCAGTCCCCCGTCTCTGGAAGCAGCAGTAACATTGGTGTTCACTCACAATAACCCCCTACAGGTCATTACCATATTTAGACTTATATTCGTATGTTTTCTGGTGTTTCATAATAATAATATAATAACTCCAATCAATACTGTTTTCTGAGCAGAGGGACTGCGTACACCTCATGGTAGGAAATGTTTAGCAAAAAGTCACATTCATGGTTCTTTTTTCTAATTAATGTCACGATAAAAAAAAAAACTAATAAAGGTCAGAGGTCGCTAAAAGCTCAAATCTGAAGCCCACGAGGACAAGAACATCATATTTCGATAAAGCGCCTCGATAAAAATCACAAGAAGCTTCACAAGCACATTAAAAATAAAACAGGGTTAAAAACGATAATAATGGGAGAAATTTAACAGCTTTACGTGTTTCTATGGTGTGATTTATCAATAAATTGTAAATAATTTGTTCAACCTTGGTTTGAGGAAAATCGTGAATTGAACTGACATCGCTATTTCTGCTAGAAAAATCTCAATTCCATCAAAATGTTTCAGCCCTTACCTGGAACATAAAAAATAAACCAAAAAAACATGAGATCCCTTTGCTGTTAGTGAAAATCTTACATATTCAGCCGATAATGGGTTCAACACGGTAGCGTTGTGTTGCTGAGGGACAGAGGAAGCTGCGCGAGAGACAGCGAGTGTGGGGAAAAAGGATGACGGGCTTGACACACGGGAGGCGACAAACGACCGCGATCAGCGAAATTCGTCGCTTTTATTACCTGACACACGGAAAGCGACCGGCGGCAGCGGCCAAGCCGCCGACGCGTTCTGTTCCATGGCGAAATCGAATCTTCCGTTGTTTTGATTGGCTGTGTCAGGTTGGAGGGAATTAAGGTTATTTAAGCGGTTCAGAGTTTAAAAAGCGGTAGATGTGATGTTTCACAAGGTGCTGCTAGAGTTACGCGGCTCTGGTGCAGAAGGCGCAGGGCAAAGAGGTGCCGGCTGTGGCGGCAAACGGGACCATGGTCGTGGAGGCTGGTGTCTGTTTCCAGCCTGGCAGCAGGCCTGTGCAAGCAAGGCGCTGGCATATACTGATAATAGTCACCAACAATTTCCCATGCCGCGGCCTTTTTGTGAATAACTATATTCTTTGGTAGGAATATTGTTCAGTTCTGGGAAAACCGTCACAGCAAGTATCAACTTCTCCTCCATGTTTGCTCGGAGATGTACGGAGCATCCTGTCCGCTCATTGGTCAGTGAATGAAACCTCCGTTGATTGGTCCTCGTCCGAGCGACGGCGATGAAAGGTTGAAAATATTTCTACTTTCTGGGATTGCGTCGCTGGGTTGCCTGTGCACGACACGTGCACGAGTGCAAAATTTCAAATGCAAGTTTTTCGCGTTTCGCTTGGTAGGAGGGAGACCCGCGATTATCGCTTTGTCGTGCATGTCTCATTGAAAATGGAGGAGAGGCGATGTCGCCTCCCGTGTGTCGAGCCCATGATGACGACGTTGATGATGCGTTGTCACGGGCTTAACTTTAGACACTGGAGCGATCTGTGATGGGTTGTTAATTCTCTGTAGTTTAGCTGGTTTTTATGTATGGAGGAGAAGGATGAATGACCAGCTGACAGATCAGCCGTTTAGCTGGAAGACGGGAAAAGGAGACCCGCAGCCGGAGTCTGGAGCCAAAGCGAGGGTTTTAAACACAATCCTTCCTCTGAGGAAGATGAGCTGGGCCATGAACAGACACTAAAAGGAAGAGTTTTTATCTTTTCAGCTTTGTTTTGGTTAGCGGTCTGCTTAGTTACGTATGCCTTCAGGTGTGCGCTCATGGCGTAGCGTGTCCTGCAGGAGAGAGGCGTACAGTCTGGCTCACAAAGACCTTGCACCGTACGGTGTGACATGAACAATCCTGCACGACGGTCAAAACCAGTTCTGAGTCCCAATAATTTGTTCTAAAGGTTCTGGAATCAGTAAAGTGACAAAAGTGCTCAAATGTATGCACACTTTCTGTAAATCCTATCAACTTTGTTTCACTTCTCAAACATCACTGTGCGTCTCCTACATGATACATTTAACTGGAATGTTTTATCGGAACAACCAACAAGAACACCATGAAGGTTAACCAGGCTGCCCAAACCTTTGCTATATATGTCTACCCAAAAGTGGCAAAACACTACTCGGACTCTGGATCACCTGGGGGCAGAACCAAAGGATGAAGGCGAGTCAGAAGATTAGCTGCCAGAACTCACCCTGTTGCTTCCTGAGTCGCTCCAGCTCTTTAATCAGATACTCCTTTTTCTTCATCCTGAGCTCTCTTTCCTCCTTCAGCTTTTCCCGCTCCTCTAGAACCTGAACAGAACAGCACACAGGAAGGGTCAGCAACCTGCCCTCTGGAACCCAGCAGAACCAACATCTCTGCAGCTACAGCCTGACCGCCATTATTTGGCCTCTTGACTTTGTGGATTCTATGGACGAATCAAAGGGATAAAAACTCAGCACGAGTCCAAAGAACTTTGTGTTTTCTAGGGCTGGGCATGCGACAACAGAGGTGTGCTAAGACCCCTAGTCTTCCTCCGCCTGCTCCAATACAGTGTTAGTGCATGTTGATGAGGTGTATTCCATGGCTGTGGTGAGTGGGCAGTGCAGGCATCGTCTGGCCTATGCCAGCTGATGCCACCACCCCACTTCTCCCCACAGCTCTGTGTCTAAGTGCAGTTTAAAATTGGAAGTGGGCACCGGCACTCGGGATGAGGCTGAAAGATCCCCTTGCCAAATGCCATTGAGAGTGCTCACTCCCAAGGCCCTAAGTGTGTGTTTGCGTGGAAAGTCGTTGGTGGAAGTGTTTAAGGTGCAAATAAAATTGGGGGGCAGGTTGCCACAGGAATGTGGAAATGGGACCCATACCCACACCCCCTGACTTGCCCACCCCCCAAGGTCATATGTGCATGTTTGTGTGATGATGTGAAGGAGCAGGAGGAGAAAAATGTGTGGAATGGCTGGTTGGCCTAAGCCCTCCAGGGAGCCAGCTCCCCCACTGGCTCCAATAGGCACCTCTGTTCCCAAAATGCCACCCAGGGCATGGAGACCCCAGCCCATCTCACCAGGGCCCAAAGCAGCGGCATCGCAGAACCCCACGGAGTCCGAGGGCACCACCCAAGCAGAATATCTACTCCCATCCCTGCATTTGCACAACTTCCAGAATATGTAAGACATGAGACATCCAGGTAGGGTTGGGTCTTCCCCCTCCTGGACATCCCCCTCCCCCATGATGGGACACAATTGTTATTGTTTCAGAGGAGCCAAGGTCCACCTGAGACCCCTGAGCCTGGGCCAGGCACTGCCGCATGTTCTCGCCTTCTACCCGGCAGCATACAATTCAGGACCCAATCTCCAAGGTCCCACCCAGATCCCCACACGGGGCTGGCCGTCCCCACACCCCGCGCCCCTACCCAGACCCACTCAGGGACGATGCAGCCGCCAGTAGACTAAACTCTGCAAAGTGAAACTCTCCTTTCACGGGAGCATATCGGACATTAACGAGCACCTTAAGAAAAAGCACGTCACGGCGGAGATCAAATAGTCGCCTCGGTAGGTTTATCTCTTGTTAGCTGCTAACATCAACAGAGTTACTTGTATTTGTAGCTGTAGCAACACCAGTAGTGGTGGTGAGTTTATTACCTTTAGAACACGTTTGTACGCCACGTATTTTTGCTCTAATTACAAATGCTGATGATTTATTTCATCCCGCTATGTTACAGTGGTAATAGAAGTGCTCCTCTTCAATGGACCAGTTTGTTACGTGCACACCTCAGCAAGCTAACGTCCTGTTCGGGGCCATTGTGAGCATGTTGGTCACGTGACTCCTGTCCATGGTCAGTATCAAGATTTCAGAGAGATGATCAAGCAGCTCAACCCAGGTTACCACGACAACTACCTACCAGGCTGATCCCACTTCACCACCATGATGGAAAAGAAATATGAAACCGCCTTTAAGGTGTGTGTGTGTGTGTTTCTTTGTCTCTGTTTCTCTCTGGACACAAATAAAATAAACTTTAGCAAATAATACATTTATGATACAATAAAAAAGTTACTGACTGAAGCTAATAATTTTAAAGCAGAAAACACTTTCTTTGTATTAAATCTTAACCTATATTTGATATAACAGAATTATTAATCTGGTAAATAGATCAACTTTAATATCTTTTATCTTTATGGTAGTGATGGGTTCGACGTGTCGGTGCTTCGAAGCGTGTCGGGTATCCAGGAAGATTTTCTGTTAAGCGCGTATCGATGCTTGTGTTGATTATGTAAGCAGTGACGTTTGAGGCCTCGTTGGCAGTCCGTACCACGTGACCGATTCAGGAACTGGCTCGCCGGTTCGGGCCGGATTCAAAATAAAAGGGGAACCAAACACCGCTGATTCCCACATTGTGCTGTGGAAACCCTATGCCCTGTTAGTTTCCTTTCTCTTTTGGACCAGACAGTTTATTAAAAAGGACAGTTTAAGACATCATTAAGAATGTATTGCCATCATAATCGATTATTTTTTCAGTTTAAAGGTTTACAGTTTTACTTGAATTGTCCACTTGATGGCGCAATCGAGCTAATAAATCATCATGGTGCCTCGAATCAAGAGTCAACCATCTCACCATCACTACTTTCCGCTAAAGCAGACCCTCAGAGCTGTCGATGGTCCCCGACTGCTGAGGGGCGGACCAGCCGTGCTATTTCCTGAGTTAAGATTGGAAGATGAAGCACTACAACCTTGCCACCATGCCTCTTGTGAACACAAGTCATGTTTGGTTTTAGGTGCCTACCTCCATCTGACGAACAGTTGTATTAACAGGTTACAAAGTTAATTAAAGTTGTTTGATAAGCGATCGTCTTTATGATTAGATGACACATAGCTGATCACACTTCTGACTAGAAGCTAATGATGGTATATTAAAGCATCCTGGTGCAATAAGTTAAACGTTTATAAATGACTCGAATAGTCGACTATTAGCAGGACCAGGACAGGCCTCCTAGTCAGGCAGGTCCCCTGATCGGACCAGAACAGACACCTTTTGTTTCTGGCTCTCGTTGTTCTGCTCATCAGAAACTCTCCTGTCGTGGCTCCTCTGCTGCTCTTCATCCTGAGGAGTGCTCCTCACCACACCTGAGCATACACAACAATCACACATCATCGCATGGACACGCTAGACCACAACACCTGCAAGTCAGCTGACCAATCAGGTACCATTGTGTTTTGCATTGACGGCTCATGTGTGTTTTTACTGGATCAGCTCACCTTTGGCCCTTGCTACAGGAGCTGGTTTGTGAGGTGCACTTTGAGGGAAGTCTCCAACACAGGTCTGAGGGGGTGGAAGCATGTGGGGAGGTGGGGCTACACTGGAAGGTGGGGCAACGCTGGGAGGTGGGGCAACGCTGGGAGGTGGATACATAGAGGGCCATTGCTGGTGCAAATAGGACATGTAGTTGCCGTACTGACCATACCCCGGTGGGGGGAAATTGGGGGGCATCATACTGTGGACCTGTGGGGGAGGGTAGGTGGGGATCGGCATGCCTGGGTGGGAGGGGATGACGACGGGGTCAATGGCCTGAGGCGGGGGTGCATCGCTCCATTCGCTTGTTACTTCCTTGGTGCCTCTGTCTTTGAGAGGTTTGGGGGGAGTTGTGTTCTTGCCGTCGTCGTCCTCGCTGCTCCAGCCACCCCTCTTGTGACTCCGCCCACGGCTGCGACTCCGGTCGCTTCTGCTTGAACTGCTGCTGTGGCTCCGCCTCCTGCGGCCTCTGCTATGGTGGCTGCCTCCTGAACTGTCAGAGGAATACCTACGTTGACGTGTCGGAGTCTTTGGAGGTGGCTTGTTCCCCTGGAGTCGCTCCTTGGTCCTGGCAGCCATCTTGCCAATTTCAGCTACACCCAGGTCCAGCCCAATGGTCTTCAACAGGTCCTGGATCTTCTCGTACTCCTCCAGAGCCTGGCGCTCGCTATCTTCAAGAGGCTCAGTCCCTGGTGGCCAGGAAGGGTTTGATACCTGAACTGTACTGTTTTGGTCCGAACTGCTGCTGGGCTGGGTCATGTAAAGGTCCACCTCACTGAGAGTGGGTGGGACCTGAACATGAGGTACACCAGGCTGAGGACAGCTGTACATCTGACCGACAGCAGCTCTCTGTGTTGGGGGGTCCACATACAGCGAATCCTCTGTCACGTCTCCATACAGCTCCAGTCTGTGGTACCGGACTGGCTCTGGCTGAGGTTTGGGCTCTTCAGTGTCTCCATACAGGAACTTTTCCTCATCATCAATGTCATCCACAGCTTTCTGCGGAGCCCCACCATCAGACGCCGCCCCCCCCAGCAAGTTCAGAATTTCTTTGATTTCTGCATCCAGGCCGGGACGCTGTGCCATGTGCGGATCGGACCGCAGCTCGGACAGCATGGAAGCCATGGTGTGTGGGTCGGTGCTCCTCACAGCTTGCAGGAGCTGTTCGGCCACGCGAGACATGGTGGCACCGTGCGAATCCCGAGGAGAGTCTGAGCTCTGCAGAACATAAACAGAACAGAGATGCCTCATTACTTCACAGGATCTTCAAACGCCTGCTTTGAGTTAGTTCTAAAGTATTTATGATTCTGAACAGAACTCAAACTTATTTTAGATTCAAAACTCCCTGTCACAGCTAATGTTTGTGGACTGCTCGATGCCGGGCCAGAGTGTGGGTCCAATCCTACCCTGACAGAGGGTGAGTCATCATAAGTATTCCGTTTCTTCAGAATGGATTTGGTGGGTTGGATCAGCAGCTCCTCCAGCTCCTTCTTGCGTCGAGCGTGCTCCAGTTCTTTGAAGGTATGCTTGTCTTTGCTGTAGCTGCTAGAACTTGAGCTGCTTGACCTGCTACTGCGGCTGCTGCTGCGACCACGGTCCCGCCCGTGACTCCTGCCCCGGGATCTAGACCTGGATTTAGACCTACTGCGAGGACGGCTCTTACTCCGTCCTCGGCTCTTGGCCCGACTACGATCTGGACTGCGGCTCTTACTCCGTCCACGGCTCTTGGCCCGACTACGGTCCGGACTACGGCTCTGACCCCGGGGACGGCTCTTGCTCCGTCCTCGGCTCTTGGCCCGACTACGATCTGGACTGCGGCTCGTGCTTCGTCCTCGACTCTTGGCCCGACTACGGTCCGGACTACGGCTCTGACCCCGGGGACGGCTCTTGCTCCGTCCTCGGCTCTTGGCCCGACTACGATCTGGACTGCGGCTCATGCTCCGTCCTCGCCTCTTGACCTGACTAAGGCCTGTGCTTCGACCCTGCTCACATTCGTGTCGCGGAGAATAGTCCCTGTGTGAAAATATAAACAGAACAGAATTTTGACATTTGAGTTAAAACATCTGTAACAAAAACAAGTTCTGTGGTAAAACACTTTTGGTCTGAACTTATGCGAAGAGACACATCTAGTACCATGTCCGTAAAACATGCAACAGACTATGGAAAGTTCCACTACCATAGCTGGAACCATGTGAAAAAGCTGGAACGTCAGGAGAAGTGTGAACTCTGACACCAGAAACAGTAAAGTCTGGCTGAAGGAAATCAGAACGGCTGGATTAGGCGGTATTTAACTACCTGTCGTGATGGCGTGGAGGGGTGGGTCCAGCTGGTCCTATCAGCTCGTTCCCCACGGTGATGTGAAGGCTGTGATCCTGAGGAGCTGGACCCCGATGAGAAGGGGACCTCTAAGAAACCAACAAAACATGTGAGCTGAAAACAAATTCATCTGTAACTCACAGGTGACCCAGTGAATCTCTCAATCACATCACCACTGTACTCACACAGGTGTTTACCTACAGGTGTTCTAAAACGTGCCATAACTAGGCCGTAAATCTCACTCAGGTGTACCCTCCTGCGGGGTTATAGCACCGTAGAAAAGAACAGCGACCCCCACCCTGTTTCTGTCACTTTTGCTATTGTGTATTTTTAACTGTATAACTGTGTGTAATGCTGCTGCTACACTGCACTGGGATTAATAGAGTACATCCATCTATCACCCAACCCGTTATAGTCTCTCCTCCCTAACACTGCGTTTTCCACCGCTGGTGTGGTCTACCCGGTGTGTTTTGAGTTGTACTGCACTATAAAAGGTGCTCCTCATCTCACGGTGTGTTCAATCACAAGCTCTGAGCTTTGTTTGCGGTTAGCCGTTAGCAGCGGATGTTAGCCGCGTTAGCAGCGACTGTTTAGCATTTCTGCTCCTGGGAGAAAACACCTACCCGTTCACCCAGAGTTACCGTGTAGTTTGTCCCCGGATCCACTCACCTCAGCCGGGGGACCACCACACCGGAACTCCCCGCTGCGGTGACTCCCCGCTCCGGGGGAAGGATACCTCCTATGCGACGGGGAGTGACGGTAGAGGTCCAGGTGCCCGTGGTCACGATGGTCGGAGTGGTAGGGGGGTCTGTGCCGGTTCTGGTCATCGCGGTAACCTGGTGCAGGGTGAGGCCTTAGTGCAGGACCACGGCCTTCGAATGGCGGTGGGTAGCCTCTGGGCGGAGGCCGACCGCGGAACATCTCCTGCGGCTGAGGTGGATGCGTGCGCTAAGATTTACCTATGAACGGAAGCCGTAACCGTTCGCTCTCCGAAGGAATCCAGATTATTTTATTTTAGAAATCAGACAGCGATGTGCGCTAGACCACACACACGAACTATTCTTTTCTTCTTCGTCGGTTTGTTTCAGGCAGGATGCTTCCCAAGATGCACTGCTGCCCACAGATGCACCGTGGACTGGCGCTTCCTATTGGTGCGGACGGGCGCCATCTTAGATGGTTCTTCATTCGCCTCCAGTGAATTCATTTCTACTGAAGAAGGTGCTTTCCACACTAAAACCACATTTTATCAAGCTTTATCACAAAACCAGAGACAGGGTATGGTATCATAATTAAAATGTAACTAAACAAAATTATTAAAAATGAATTTAAATATACAATCCTATCAGGTAGGCTAGAATAGTCACAGAAATGGGCTTTTTTTTATCACTGCGTTGACTTTGGAGAGGAGACCCATCGAATATCGCGGCGACGCTGTGCAACCTAGCTGAATGGAAATGACTGGTTTGAACTGCACCTTTAGTTGGATTATATTATTCACAACAAATTAAACATTACATTAATTTTAATGAGATTGTTCTTATTTTCTGAAAGAAAGAAATTTGTAACTGTAGGCTAATGTGTTTTATTACACATAGGTAAGGTTAAAGAAAGAAGAACTGTTCAAATAGTGATGTTATTAATGTGAAAATAAACTAGATTGTGTCAGCTGCAGAACATCAGCGTTCCCACTGTGATGCCTATGCACATTAGGTTGCAGGTTCGATCCCAGCTCCGGACAGAGAATTCTGCTGTTGTGTCCTTGGGCAAGACACTTAACCCACCTTGCCTGCTGATGGTGGTCGGAAGGACCGGTGGCGCCTGTGCTCGGCAGCCTCACCTCTGTCAGTGCGCCCCAGGGCAGCTGTAGCTACATCGTAGCTCATCACCATCAGTGTGTGAGTGGATGAATGGTACACTAGTGTAAAGCGCTTTGGAGTACTTACTCTGAGAGGCCGCTATACAAGTGCGGGTCATTTATCATTTATTTAAAGTGACAATGTGTAGTTCTCCATTAATCTCTGGAAATATCCATCAAATGTTGTTGTAAACTAATTAAAAGATGCCCAGTTGTTGAAAAATACAGGAAATTTCATAACATATAACTGTAAAAATCTGTTCTGAAATACATAGGAGCAGGTCTAAGGGTGGTTCTCAATGCCAAGGAACTTTGCCTTGATGTCTTGGCCCCACCCTTGCCTAGGAGATACGTCACCAGGAACCGCCAAGGCTTGTTCCAATGTTCTACAGAGGTGTGTGCTCTCTGTTAGCCTATTAGCTATCTGAGCAAGGATACACGGGAGGTGTCTTGTAGCCTAGCCTTGGTCGAAAATTTCCCAGAATACACCAGTACTTTCAAAAGGCAGAACAGAAGACTGCAGCTACTTTGGGAAAAATTTTCAAGTTTAAATATAAGTCAAACTAATTGTGGCTATCAGGCTGGTATCTGAAATGTTTTTTTTATATATCCAAAGCAGTTAGCTATGGTTGGTTAGTTGCTTAGTAGTTGCAGCTTCGGTGACTAGTAGGTAGTAACTCGCTTACATATTTAATTTAAACAAATATATACCAGGGCTGCCAACTCTCACACACTGAGCGTGAGACACACGCATTTGACCCTCTTCACACGCCCTCACGCCAC